ACCATTTCTTGCTTCAGTGCCCCTTCAATATAGAAGTCTACAAGGGGGTGGGTGGGGCTGTGGGTATCTCCTTTCCTACTTGAGTTATGCAGAATGGTCTTACGTAGCCTTTTGAACTCACCAGGAATTTGATTTTGAGGCACTTTTTCTAGTTAGCTTAGTAGTCCGTTACTACACGTGGAATGCACGGTGTCAGGTTTCCATTCGCTAAAAAGTCCTTCCTGTCGAGGTGGTGGTGCACAACATTTTGGGTGAGGTTGGGAAGATTTGGGGTCTTGAGAAGGACAGGTGGTGGCCGGGAGTCTGGACAAAGGTGTGGAGGAATGTCAGGTCCCCGTAGCTGCTGTCTGTCAGTCTCTGGGGGCGTGGCTTCTCTTTCTGTCCTTTCCCGTCCCCTAGATTTTTGTAAAATCAGATTTGTGAAAAAAGGCAGCATACATGGATTAAATGTTTAGTTGTTTCTTAGCCTGAGGGTGTGTTTAGGTGGAGGTAGGGTTTGTTGAGATACATTATAAAGATAATAACAATATTAAAATATAATTCGTTATGTTTGTGTTTTTTCCCAGCAAAAAAGATGTTTTCTATTTTCTATGCTGAAGTAAGCTATTTTTTGTTTAAATATATATATATATATATATATATAACATTTATTTTGTATATATGTAAATGTTTTTTTATGTTTGTAAGATTTTTAATAAACAAAAATTTACACTTGCAATTGGACTTTAACCTCTTCCCGTCCGGCCCATATCGATAAACGGCTGGACGGGAGTGCTGCTGATGCAGTTGGACGTTTCTAAATTTCCCCCTGCATCCATTGCCAGTGCGCACTCCCTGGGAGCGCACGGCACCGCAAGAATGCAGCCAGAGAGAAGGAGAAATTATTGCTTTTACAGCCTTTATGGGTGTAAAAGCAATCAGTATAAAAAGAGAAAAAAAAAAATCTTCATAACCCCCCACAAGTAGTACAGTTTCACTATGGTGACATTGTACTGCTAGGGTGACAGTATGTTAAAAAAATATAAATATTAATGTAAAAAAAAATCTGTAAAACGTTTTTTGAAAAATTATTATTTTTGGTTATAAACTACTTTGGGTTATTTTTTTACAAAAAAGATAGATTAATACATTTTGGCCAAGATTTATGAAGAAAAATTATTTATTTGCAAAATTTTATGAAAAAAAAACACTTTTTTTTCAAAATTTTTTGGACTGTTTCATTTATATAGCAAAAAGATAAAAATTCCCAGTGGAGAATAAATACCACCAAAATAAAGTTTTATCTGTCTCCAAAAAATGCTAAAAAATTCATTTGGGTACAGTGTTGCATGACCGTGCAATTGTCATTCAAAGTGTGATAGCGCTGAAAGCTGAAAATTTGCCTGGACAGGAAGGGGGTAAAAGTGTCCGGACTGGAAGTGGTTAAAGGGGTAGTAAACTTGAGGGAAAAAAAAAAAAGCTCTCCATGCAAGACAATGTTATAATGTGCTAGTATGCATTGCATACTAGCACATTATGAAAGACTTACCTTTAAATGATGCACTCCAGCAGCACCACCTCTGTCTTCCATCTTCACCCGGTCTTCTTTCCGGGTTCGCCACTTGACTGGCCAAGCCATGATGACGTCACCCTTGCTCATGTGCACGGGAGTCTCTGCCACAGTACACAGCTCTGAGAGAATAGCACGGGTATACCGTTCCTCCAGAGCGCATGCACCGGTGACATCACTGGCTGCCGCTCACTAGAATATCTCCTAAATGGTGCACGTTTAGGAGATTCATTTTACCTACAGGTAAGCTTTATTATATAGGTGAAAATAAAATAAAAAGGGTTTATTACCACTTTAACTAATTGAGGCCCATTAAGCGCACTTGTATGTGTCTTTGTACCTTCCAGGGATGTTCAATTTTCATCGCCATGTAGTGCCAAGTTCCGGCAGCTACTTTTTTTTTTAAACCCTGCTGCGGATCAGGTGGAAGCATTCGTAGCTGCAGCGCTGCCGCCGATTGCTTCCATACAGCTCACAGTGCCAGCCTCCTCCGCCACCCTGCGTACCTCCGTCTTGCCCGCTATGTCTCCCGGGCTCTGCTTGCCCATCTGCAGTTCAGCGGATGCCAGCGTGTAAAGGGGTTGGAGGAGAGCGGACACGTCCACTCCCTTCCTCTTCTTCTCCTGACCCGGGAGTGATGACATCACTTCCGAGTCCCCATTGACAGGTACAAAGAATGTAATGTAGTGCGATTTGCACTGCATTACATCCAGTTGAATACCAGAGAGACAGCCAGGGTCTTTTAGAAATTCTGAAGGACCCTCTGCACACTGATATATACCCTTTCAAGCAGACTATGCAATAATTAGGGATATTTAGTTCACACACATTGCAATACATGCTTAAGCTGGCCAACTGCGTCAAAGTACCGTATTTTTCACTCCATAAGACGCACTTTTTCCCCCCAAAAAAGGGGGGAAAATGTCAGTGCGTTTATGGAGCGAATATGGAGTGGCCGGTCCGGTATTTCCACCGCCTCCGTGTCAGAATACCCGGCCGCTCAGCTCTGCAGTGGGACCTTACCTGTTCCTCTATCCAGCTGTCTTCCCGGCTTCTGTAGTGTGTGTGACAGCCCGGTCCCAAGTGCGCATGCGCAAGAAGCGGTGCTCTTTGTGAATGGTAAGGCGGTATCTGGGACACATGACAGATCCCAGAAGCCGCCGGACTAATCACAAAGTGCAGCGCTTCTCGCGCATGCGCACTGGGCATCCGGCTGTCCGCCGAGCGCCCACACTACAGAAGCCGGGTAGACAGCGCGCGGCTGGATAGAGGAACAGGTAAGATCAAAGAACAACTCCGCGGAAGTGGGAGCAGGTACCTGTCAAATTCAGGTACCCGCTCCCCCTCCCTCCCCAAAGGTCAGCAGTCATCTCCTGTACTGTCCGCAGTCTCTGGTCATTCCTGTGCTGTCCGCAGTCTCTGGTCATCTCCTGTACTGTCCGCAGTCTCTGGTCATCTCCTGTACTGTGTCCGCAGTCTCTGGTCATCTCCTGTACTGTGTCCGCAGTCTCTGGTCATCCCCTCTACTGTGTCCGCAGTCTCTGGTCATCTCCTGTACTGTGTCCGCAGTCTCTAGTCATCTCCTGTACTATGTCCACAGTCTCTGGTCATCCCCTGTACTGTGTCCGCAGTCTCTGGTCATCTCCTGTACTGTGTCCGCAGTCTCTGGTCATCTCCTGTACTGTGTCCGCAGTCTCTGGTCATCCCCTGTACTGTGTCCGCAGTCTCTGGTCATCCCCTGTACTGTGTCCACAGTCTCTGGTCATCTCCTGTACTGTGTCCGCAGTCTCTGGTCATCTCCTGTACTATGTCCGCAGTCTCTGGTCATCCCCTGTACTGTGTCCGCAGTCTTTGGTCATCTCCTGTACTGTGTCCGCAGTCTCTGGTCATCTCCTGTACTATATCTGCAGTCCATTAGTTCAGAATTTTTTTTTTTTCCTGTTTTCTGCCTCTAAAACCTAGGTGCGTCTTATGGTCAGGTGCGTCTTATGGAGCGAAAAATACGGAAATCCCTCTATGGCCAGTCCTACTCTGCTCTGCCTACGCAAATGCTACTGTGGACACAATGCTAGCATAGGGGAAAAGACACAATGGGGAGAGCTACAAGGTTCAGGTCTGGCTACTGACCCTGGATGTCTCAAAAAAGAGAACCTGTCATCAAAAATCATCACACTTTGTGTCCCCTATGTGATGAAAGAAAACAAAAGTTAAGTAAAAAAAAAAAATCTTTTTTTTAAATTGTAAAAAAAAAGGTACACCTAAGCACATAACACCCCCCCCCCCAAAAAAAAAAAAATTTTGAGCCCCATCCCACATATATGCACATACAAACGGAAAAGCACACACTGGGGCATCTACACATGAAAACGTCAACACGTGTTATATAATGCCACGCATATCAGAATGAGAGCAATAATTCTAGCACCAGGCCTCCTCTGTAACACTAAACTGGTGACCTATAAGGGGTTTTAAATGCGTCACCTATAGAAAATAAAGAGTACTAAAGTACCTCATCTTTTATTTTTTTACCAAAAATTATTGCTGTTTTGTGCCCTAAAATTAAGTGTATTTTTACTGAAATGCTGTGTTTCCTAGACTTTGTGGTAATATCCTGTGACATAAATTGAAAGTACCCCTATTTTATTCTCTAGGGCCACTGCTTTCAGAAAATATATAATGTTTTGCGGGTTTTATGGTGCTGAAGACAGGCAGGGAGGTGAGGAGGAGATAAACAGCACAATATTAAAAATATTACACATTTAAGTCGCCATAAATCCCCGTTTGTTTTTTAACCACTTCCAGCCCGGACACTTTTACCCCCTTCCTGACCAGGGCAATTTTCAGCTTTCAGCGCTATCACACTTTGAATGACAATTGCGCGCTGTCATGCAACACTGTACCCAAATGAATTTTTTACCATTTTTTTGAGATAGATAAAGCTTTATTTTGGTGGTATTTATTCACCACTGGGATTTGTATTTTTTTTGCTATGTAAATGAAATGTCCAAAAATTTTGAAAAAAAAAAAAGTGTTTTTTTTATAAAATTTTGCAAATAAATAATATTTCATCATAAATCTTAGCCAAAATTTATTCCGTTATCTTTTTAGTAAAAAAAAAAAAAAAATCCAAATTAGTTTATAAGCAAAAATTATAATTTTTAAAAACATTTTTTTTTTACATTTTTATTTTATTTTTTTATATTATTTTTTATTTTTATTTTTTTTTTTTACATACTGTCACCCTAGCAGTACAGTGTCACCATGGTGACACTGTACTACTTGTGAGGGGTGATGAAGATTTTTTTTTTTTTTTTTACACTGATTGCTTTTACACCCATATAGGGTGTAAAAGCAATCATTTCTCTTTCTCTCTGTGTGCATTCATGCACTCATTGAGAAGAACTGAGTGAGCTGTGATTGGTCACAGCTTGTCACATGGTACAAGGCTTTTGTGAATAGCCTTGTACCATGTGACCTCTGTGATCATTCACAGATTTCACACATAGTAAGCAATGATGTCAGAAGTGACATCTTGCTTACTACTTTGCATGTGATCACTGATTGGCCAATCAGTGATCACATGATCGGGACCTCGTACAGATCGGGACCTGTGTCCGGAGGACACAGCGGGCACCGGATCGCGGTGCTGCGCGCTCCCAGGGAGCGCGCACAAGCAGGGTGCGTGGAGGCCGTTTATAGACGGCCACCCGACCCTGCAGTGCCACCGTCCGGCCGTTTATATACAACGGCCGGTCGGGAAGTGGTTAAAAACTCCAGACATTCCTAAAAGCACCTCAGATTTAAATTTTGGTTTTGATTAAAAAATTGCTTTTTATCATGACTGTACTGTGCATATAAAAAGTCTACACACCCCTGTTAAATGTCAGGTTTCTGTGATATAAAAAAATTTGACAAAAATAAATAATTTCAAAACTTTTTCCATCTTTAATGTGACCTTTAAACTGTACAACTCAAATGAAAAACAAACTAAACTCTTTTAGGGGGAGAAGTAAACATAAAAATCTAAAAATAATGTGGTTGCAGAAGTGAGCACACCCTCTAATAACTGGGGATGTAGCTATGTTCAGAATTAAGCAATCACATTCATGTTGAACAGGAGTCAGTACACACCTGCCACCATTTAAAATGCCTCTGATTAACCTCAAATAAAGTTCAGCTGTTCTAGTAGGTCTTTCCTGACATTTTCTTAGTTGCATCCTACAGCAAAAGCCATGGTCCGCAGAGAGCTTCCATGCATTAGAGGTATCACATTATTAATTATTATTATTTAATAATATCCTGACTGATATTATTAAATATCAGTCAGGAGAAGGGTACAAAAGAAATTCCAAGGCATTAGATATACCATGGAGCACAGTGAAGAAAGTCATCATCAAGTGTAGAAAATATGGCGCAACAGTGACATTACCAAGAACTGGACGTCCCTCCAAAATTGTTAAAAATACGAGAAAAAGACTGGTCTGGGAGGCTCCAAAGAGGCCTACAGCAACATTTAAGAAGCTGCAGGAATATCTGGCAAGTACTGGCTGTGTGGTACATGTGACAACAATCTACCATATTCTTCATATGTCTGGGCTATGGGGTGGAGTGGGAAGATGGAAGCCTTTTCTTACGAAGAAAAAACATCAAAGCCCAGCTAAAATTTGCAAAAACACATCTGAAGTCTCCCAAAAGCATGTGGGAAAATGTGTTCTGGTCTGATGGAACCAAGGCTGAACTTTTTGGCCATAATTCCAAAAGATATGTTTGGTGCAAAAACAACACTGCACATCACCAAAAGAACACCATAAGAACACTATACCCACAGTGAAGCATGGTGGTGGCAGCATCATGCTTTGGGACTGTTTTTCTTCAGCTGGAACTGGGGCCTTAGTCAACGTAGAGGGAATTATGAACAGTTCCAAATACCAGTCAATATTGGCACAAAATCTTCAGGCTTCTGCTAGAAAGCTGAACATGAAGAGGAACTTCATCTGTCAGCATGACAACGACCCAAAGCATACATCCAAATCAACAAAGGAATGGCTTCACCAGAAGAAGATGAATGTTTTGGAATGGCCCAGCCAGAGCTCAGATCTGAATCCGATCAAAAATCTGTGGGGTGCTCTGAAGAGGGCTGTGCACAGGAGATGCCCTCGCAATCTGACAGATTTGGAGTGTTTTTGCAAGGAAGAGTGGGCAAATATTGCCAAGCCAAGATGTGCCATGCTGGTAGACTCATCCCCAAAAAGACTGAGTGCTGGAATCACATCAAAAGGTGCTTCAACAAAGTATTAGTTTAAGGGTGTGCACACTTATGCAACCATATTATTTTAGTTTTTTATGTTTACTTCCTCCCCTAAACGTTTTCAGTTTGTTGTTAAACTGAGTCGAACAGTTTATAGGTCACATTAAAGGCGGAAAAAGTTCTGAAATGATTGTTTAATTTTTGTACACCTGACATTTTAACAGGGATGTGTAGACTTTTTATATCCACTGTAGATTGACATGAGGGACAAGTAGATTGGGACCCCGATTTAGTCCCTGGACAATTAGTTTTTTCAAACATTTCCACACCCCTGCCTTCTTTTCTGTAACGTGATCCTGCAATCATATCATACAACAAATCAACAACAACGGAGCCTCTTCTTGCCACAATTGTATATTTGACATGAACGCAGATACACTCCCCCTGACCTGAAACTTTAGTATTTCAGACTCAATCTGTTGACAGTCTGAACTGTAAATCAGTGACAACGTGACATCTCCCCACAAGTAATAATCAGCAAAAGGAGACAAGCTCTATACGCACCCGTCATGCTAATCACTTTACGAGTCGCGTATTTCAAGAAAATAAATGACTGCACTCCAATTAAGATACATTCACTGCCACGGGTGATTATGTACTTGTTATTGCTCATTAGGAGATGGCCTGGGATGTTCTACTCTGTGCGTAATTAACTTGCTTAACATGCAAAATGACTCCTATTAATTGTTCGCTGGCGGCCCTATCACCCACATCAATCAGGAGGAAGAGGCTGAAGTCATAATAGGAATTGTGCGCCTTTCCTGTGAAAACATGCTCGAGGTCTGAATAACTGCAGTAAACGTGAGTTCAAAGCAGAAATCCAGCTAAATAGGTAGCTTCTTACCGGCAAAATAATTCTAAAATCTGTTCAGCTAGTCTTGAGATCCAGGAGCACTGGCCAGATGGCAAATGCCGACCTCACTTTTCTACACTGTACTTAAGCAGTACAATTTTGTCGCCAAACCTTGTACCCAGGGGAGTCCCTAGGGTTGACACTCCCTCCGACAATCCCCGCAGAATGGATCGGATCTACAGATTGAGCAGATCAGACTCCGATCCATTATGCTCCCCAATCCGCAGATTTGATCCATCCTGCGGGGATCTTTGGCTTGCTTTACAACTTACCTTTTTGTGGAGCAGGTGCGGTGTCACCCCGTGCGGTAGGTGTCACCCGCACCTGCCTCGGGACGCCACTGCTTGTACCTAAAGTCAGGTCAGAAAGCTATCATGAATAGAATACAATGGGGGTGATTTACTAAAGGCAAATAAGCCATTTATGTCAGAGTCCAGATCTGAACCTGTGCTGTTAGAAACCACAGAGCCGCTACAGCCAACCAGCCAAGCCCCCCAAACTACAGGGCCCCTTACGGCCAACCTAACAAGGCCCCCCATCCCCACAAAAAAGCACAGTTTACTAGGCTTCAGTTATGAATGAACACAGTGAGTGATCAGTACCAATCCCTCGTGTTCATTCAGGAAAGGAAGAGAAAAGAAGTCCTCTTGTTGGTGGGACTTTACAAGTTTGTCAATTAATGAACTAATGAATCAACAGTTAAAAAATAACAATCCATTTTTATTTTATAGAATCTTTAAAAAGACAATTCTCACTCCAATGCAGCACCATGCCATCAGCATCCTTGTGCGGACCAGCCGCTGGTTCGCCACTATTGGGCGGGGCCCCTCCAGCAGACATTTGGGCAGCTTCTGTCATCTCCCTTTCCCTGCATTCCTTGCTGTGAGAGGCTTATGAATATTTTCTGCTGCATCATGGAAATTAATACTTTTTAATTCTCTGGCGGTTCATTTTCACTTTCCTTGCCCCCATGTGAGGCCATGTAAGTGTTTCACTATATTCCAATTTTAGAAAAAATGTCTATGTATAAGGACGTATATTGATGTGTATGTTTATTGCAGGCGTCATGTCTTTTTGAAGAGACAACGATTGGTCTCGAAACACGTCAGTTGCAACATATGCATGACCGATCTTCTACCACTAGTCATACATCTTTGACAATTTACCACCACTATTTTTGTATCACAACATGTTATTTCTTTTTTAAGATTGTATAAAATAAAAATGGATTGTTATTTTTTAACTGTTGATTGATTAGTTCATTAATTGACAAACTTGTGCCTTTAAAGTCCCACCAAGAAGAGGAATTCTTTTCGCTATATTTTCAGGGATGGTGGCACCTCTTGTGCTATATCCCCTTTCTTCTCTATTTGGGAAAGGAAGGGGCTGGTAAGCTACTGGAACCGATCCCCTGTATGCCCCTCTGAACAGCAGCTGAAAGTCAGCACAGGGGGGGGGGGGGGGGAGAGGAGAAGAAGCCAGCTTTCAGCTGCTACAGAGGAAGCCATACAGGGGATTAAAAACAGTGAAAATAGAAAAAAGAAAAAAGTCTCCTGCGCTGCAAATGGATACCCTATCTTTAAGCAGCCAACACCAACCTTAACCACAAAGTATAAAGTCACAGATACACAATACAATATAATGGTGTAGCACTAAATGCATATAAACGCATATAAATAAAGACACGCAACACACCCCTACCCACAAAATAAAAACATAAGCCCCAAATAGGGGATCAAGTGGTAGTGACACAAGTGATTCCTCTTAGAGGAACTTATCACACGTGAAAAAAAAGTCCAAACTGTGTGTAAATCTTGGTAATAACCTAGTCCTTATATCTTAATGGATGCAGAAACCCAGACTGATGGATGGATGGTGTATATTAAGTGCCACACTCTGCAAGGTGATATTCGTGAACAGCCAAAGTGCCTCCTCACCTCCTTTGAGACCACAAGGGTCACCACACTTTGTGGAATATCCACATATATCCCAGGATGGTTATATCAGTAGATGAGCCCCTCTCGTGGTTTGGATATCCCTGCTACTCTTCCACGTCCTCCTGTCACCTGGCTCCACTCCGTAACCGATCCCACCAGAAGGTCATAGACAACAAAACAGACCTCCCATAGTGTAATACTCCATAATCGCTTTATTTTAAAGAAATAAAAATGCCCACTCACATGGAAGACGATCACAGAAAACTTAAATCCACTGCTATGGGAATGAACATGTGAATCTATCTCAGAGATGGCGTCCGCATCCGGGATGACGTCACTACGCCTCGTCCTATCGATACGTGCCGACGCGTTGCGTCACGGTAAACACGTGACTTCATCGCCATCTCTGAGCTAGATTCACATGTTCATTCCCATAGCAGTGGATTTAAGTTTTCTGTGATCATCTTCCATGTGAGTGGGCA